TCCTGCCAAAAAAGTTGGTCTCCACTGAGTTAGAATACCTTGAACAGTGATAAATCCATTTCTAATCCCCTTATTTGTGTTCAATAGTATCTTGCTCCACAAGAAGTCCCTTTGACTTCATTAGTATGAGGAGGGGTTTCTAAATTTGGCCTTGAAATTTTTGGGTACTGAATCTGACTCCAGAACAGGCTGCTTGATTTTCTTTAATTGCTGCTGATGAGCACGTACTAGGGTGAAAATTTCCCTGGCAAAGGAGATGTGTCCCCTACGCTAAGAGCATCTTTACACGTGCTCTGGGATGCAGTGTGGGAGCACTTTAATTAGAGCGGCTCCGAGAAGTGATACTCCCCCTCTATGCAACTTTGGTCAGGCCGCAGTTGGAGTACTGTGTCCAGTACTGGGCGCCGCACTGCAGAAGGGATGTGGCCAGCCTGGAGAGGGTTCAGAGGAGGGCTACCCACTTGGTGAGAGGGCAGCAGGACAGGCCGTACGAGGAGAGACTGAAGGACCTGAACCTGTTCAGCCTCAGCAAGAGGAGGCTGAGGGGAGACCTGGTGGCTGCCTACAAACTCATCAGGGGAGATTAACCGCAAATAGGCAGAGAGCCCTTTTCTCCCCAGCACCACCTGGGGTGACAAGGAACAATGGTCATAAGCTGATGGAGAATAGGTTTAGGTTAGAGATCAGAAGGCAATATTTTACAGTTAGGGTGGCCAAAATCTGGAACCAGCTTCCCAGGGAAGTGGTCCTCACCCCTACCTTGGGCAAATTCAAGAGGAGGTTGGATGATCACCTGTCTGGGGTCTTGTGAACCCAGCATTCATTCCTGCCTGTGGCAGGGGGTCAGGTTAGATGATCTGTTCAGGTCCCTCCTGACCCTAGCTACCATGAAACTATGAACTGCTCTGATTAAAGCGCTTGCAGCGTCATATGTATTCAGTGTCCCACACTTCAAAATGGCATCAGGGTGCTTTAACTGAAGCTTGTTTGATGAGGTTTAGTTAAAGCGCCTCTGCCACCATTTCAAAGCTCAGGGACAGTGAATACATGTGATGTGGAGGCTGCTGGAGCATGCTAATTAGATTAATCAAGTTTGCATGGATGTGCGCTAATTAGCCCACATCAGAGCAGGCATGCTGTGCCCTAAGTGTGTAACAGAAGTGCAGTAGTAATAGTGTTGTAATAGCAGGTGTAAAAGTCTAGACCCAAATACTGCAAAGCCTTTGGGACTGCCACCAAGCACCCTGACAGCCTTAGGGAGGTTGCTATTAATTAGTAATTTAATACAGGGATGGGACTGGCTCCAGAAGAAATCCAAATTCAGATTTGCAGAGTGAAGCATATACTGCCTTCTGCCTTTTGTCCTTGAGCACCTAGCACTAGATCTGTTCCTGTATGCTGCAGTATTCCCTTACTTCCATCTTTTATGAAGGGTCCTGTTTGGGGTCTGCCAACCTGGATTGTGCTTTTTTTTTTTTTTTTTTACTGAAATCCTCAATCAAACCAACAGCTCTCATTTTCAAGTGTCTAGTATCAAGTCAGAGTATCAAGAGTAATATGATGTGGGGAGGGGAAAAGCAATACTTGAAGGGAATGGAGTAGGATAGGATTAAGGAGTGTTTCATGAGCTCTTTGCCACTTCCTCAAAAATAAGTGTGTATGTTATGCCCCTGCTTTGTGTGGGTCTGCTGAGCCTGTCTTTTCTGTAAGCCTAAATATTCCCAATGTTCCCCAGGTGGTTGCTGTTTCATTTACCCTCTTAAGACTTGTACTTATCTAGACAGTGGATGCTAATGCTGCTAGGCAAAGCCAGATTGGCAGGGTGAAAAATAAAAGTAGAGTCTTGTGTTGTCTCAAAGCCCAAAGATAGCTTGAATGCTCTCTTCAGAGTGTACTTGATGATAGTCTTCATCTTTCACTTAATCAAGGCCAATTAATTCTGAAATATATCCTAAATGAAGAGGGGAGTGCGAATGAGTTAGGACAGCAAGTCTGAGACATCAGCATAATAGTAACCAAATAAGGAGAACACAAAGCTGACTGGCTCTATCTTTTATAGTTGAGAGCTCTTATTGTTAAGGTGTAGAACCCAAGGGCTTGTTGGCAGTAGAAATTAGGATATCTTGATGTATGTGGTGTTTTTTTCTTTTCTTTTTTTTTATTTTTTGACAGATTGCTTGAAGAACAGCAGTGAAGGGCTATCAAATGCTACAATAGAGTTCCTGGACTTATTCAATAAAACACTGATGTGTTTTGAACATAACCTCCAGGTATTTATAGCATGTATTGAAGGTCAGAACTAAGTCCTCTTGTTGTATAGTAAAATCTTGTATATACAGCACGAACTGCAGGGGATACATACAGGAGAATACAATTCGCAAATGCTTAAGCAGTTTAAGCAGGTAGAATAATTATCTATAAAACGCAGATGTTTACAATTGAGAACATAAAATGCATTCTAATTGATGTTCACCTTGACTTCATTTTATATGTAATTACAGTGCTATTGCATATTAGAATTTCTAGATTCACAATAGTTGATAATTATATAGCAAGTCGCATCATCTCTGCATACAGCTAGTCACTTTACCTACCCATTGCTTTTTGGAATTGTTGTCTTGTGACTTCACAATCTGAGTTTCCAATTATTTGGTTGCAGTGCCTATTGGCCTGAAAGGGTCAACTACCTGGAACCATTTTTAAGAAGTTTTGTTTTTTTTTAACTAGAAAGTTATAAACAATTAGAATCTTTAAGTATTCCTTTTTTGTAAAATAAACTTGGGAATGCTCCTTGGAAAATGGCCCATAAGCGCATATTAAGTGCATCAAAATTAGAGAAATTATGGCAATTTAATCCTAAAATTAAATGAAAATGTTAGACGTATTCTCTGTAGTTTTATTAAGGAACCATTTGAAAGGAATGGTGCAACGTGTTTCAGATACTTAATATTAAGCATAAATTTCCTGTTGCAGAATAAACATGTACATGTAACATTGCAGCTGAATAACTCATGTTCCTGCATGCACCTCATATGAGTCACAAACAGCATTTTTTACCAAACTTGTTATACTGTCTTCTGTGGAACTTTGCCGGTAGTAAAGCCTTCTTCCCAAACTGTCATTTCTTTGCAAGTAAAATAATGCAGAATTATGGGAAACAATTTTTTTGCTTTAAAAGTTCTTAAAGTACATTAGCAAACAATTGGGTAATTGGGAACATTGAAACCTCTGGTTGTGATGGGTGTTACAATACCAGACTAAACTATTTATGTCCAATAGTTCCTGTAGAGTCATAGATGTTAGGGTCAGAAGGGACCTCAGTAGGTCATCAAGTCCGACCCCCTGCCCTGGGAAGGAAAGAGCTCTGGGGTCAGACAATCCTAGCTAGGTGCTTGTCCAGTCTCCTCTTGAAGATGCCCCAGGGTAGGGGAGAGCACCACCCCACTTGGAAGCCCATTCCAGATTCTGGCATCCCTTACTGTGAAAAAGTTCTTTCTAATGTCCAACCTAAATCTGCTCTCTGTCAATTTGTGGCCGTTGTTCCTAGTTACTCCAGGGGGTGCCCTAGTAAATAGAGCATCTCTTATTCCCCGCTGCCCTCCCCTGATGAATTTGTAGGCAGCCACAAGATCACCTCTCAGCCTTCTCTTGCGAAGGCTGGAGAGATTTAGGTCCCTCAGTCTCTCCTCATAGGGCCTTGCCTGCAGGCCTCTGACCATGCAGAGTGGCCCTCCTCTGAATCCTCCCAAGATTCTCAGCATCCCGCTTGAAGTGCAGCGCCTAAAACCCACAGCATGCTTATAGGCTCGGCAGTGCTATACTTGCTAGCACCACTGCGGAAAGAGACTTGGGGGGCATGATTGACCCCAAGATAAACATGAGCCAGCAATGTGATGTTGCAGCTGGTAAAGCAAACAAAACCCTGGCTTGCATCTACAGATGCTTCTCAGATAAATCTCAGGGTGTCATCTTCCCGCTGTAGTCGGCCTTGGTGAGGCCGCAGCTGAAGTACTGCATCCAGTTCTGAGCTCCACAATTCAAAAAGGATGTCGAGAAGCTTGAGAGAGTCCAGAGGAGAGCCACATGCATGATCAGAGGGCAAGAGAATAGGCCCTATGAAGAGAGGCTGAGAGCCATGGGACTCTTTAGTCTGGAAAAGCACAGGCTAAGGGGGGACCTGGTGGCCACCTACAAGTACACAAGGGGTGTTCATCAGGATCTGGGAGAACATCTGTTCACCAGTGTTGCAAGGAAAAACAAGGACCAACCATCATAAACTCTTACAAGACCGTTTTAGGCTGGACATAAGAAAAAATGTATTTACTGTCCAAGCCCCCAAGACCTGGAATAGGCTCCCTCCAGATGTGGTGCAGGCACCTTCTCTGGTCTTATTCAAGAAACACTTGGACGCTTATCTTGCTGGGGTCCTTTGAACCTAGCTGACTTCCTGCCCCTGGGGCAGGGGGCTGGACTTGATGATCTTCGAGGTCCCTTCCAGCCCTAACATCTATGAATCCTATTTCGTTCTGCCCATTTTTCCAACCTGTCCAGATCCGCCTGGATACATTCCCTACCCTCTGGTGTGTTAACTTTGCCCCATAATTTGGTATCGTCTGCGAACTTGGACAAGGTGCTCTCCACGCCCTTGTCCAAGTCACTGATGAAGACATTGAATAGCACCGGTCCAAGGACCAAGCCTTGTGGGACTCCACTGCCCACATCTTTCCGGGTCAATCTCGACCTATTCACCACCACTCTCTGGGTGCGACCCCTAAGCCAGTTTGCAACCCACCTGACCGTGCAATCGTCTGCATCACAGCCTGTCAGTTTATTTATGAGAACAGAATGAGATACTGTATCGAAGACCTTCTTAAAGTCTAGGGAGATGACCTCTACCTTGACTCCTGCATCTAAGCATTTTGTGACCTGATCATAAAAAGAAACAAGGTTAGTCAGGCAGGATCTATGTGCAGTTAATCTGTGCTGATTTCCTTTCAGCATTTTTTCCCCTGCTGGGCTCCCACAAATGGGATCCTTAATGATTTTTTTTCAGGAGTTTTCCCAAGGATAGAGTTGAGACTAACTGGCCTATAGTTTGCTGGTTCGGTCCTCTTCCCTTTCTTGAAAATAGGGGCCACGTTGGCACTTTTCCAGTCCCCTGGGACCATGAGTGCTCAAACAGCTATGCCAGCTGCTCTGCTATGACATTGGCCAATTCCTTCAGCACCCTTGGATGAAGTTCATCCGGGCCCACTGATCTGAACACATTTGAACACCACATTAATGCAAATACATATGTATTTGCATTAATGTTGAGATCTTCAATAACCACTAACTTGGCAACGGTGGCATCACAACATAAATGAACTGAGAAAAACGTAATATAGAAAGCATCTGTGCATTTTTAATAATTTGACAGCTTAAAAAAACCTCACAACAAATTTCTCTCTACACCTGTCATCTGTTCCCAGTACTTAGCATGTTTATGAAGGAAAAAATGATGCTGTCTCCTGTGTGTGTGGTGGGGGGGGAACTGAATTCTACCATAATTGACTTTTATCACTGTTGCTGTTCTGTCACTTCTTCCAAAAGGAATATTTCTGACACAACTTGGATAGCAAGCTTTTAATACTTACACCAGAAGATGGTGATTCTATTGACTTGTCATAATAGGTAGGAAAGAAGAAAGGAGCAAAGGATAGCATTTGTGTTCAGCCATTGTAGACTCAAATTTTAGTACCTGACTGAATTTCATGTTGCACTTAAGTTCACTTAACAAGGACCATGATGCCTTCTAGGACTTGTGACACAAAGGTCAGGATATATTGAGAGGTGTAAGGCATGAAAGGTAATTCTTTGCTCTCCTTGGCATTGGTGAGGCCTGGGTTGGAGTGCTGTGTTCACCACTCTTCAAGAAAGTTGTGGACAAATTGTTGAAAGTCCAGAGGAGAGTACTGTGAATAAGAAGGTTAGAAAACGTGATCTATGAGAAAAGGTGGAAGGGTCTGGGTTTGTTTCCTTTAGAAGAGAGGATACCGGGGGG